ATGAAGACAGGAACTGTACTTTCTTTCTTCTTTTTGTTAAAAAAAATGCATAAGGCATTTTTTTTTTGAGAGCAGAATGAAGAGCAAAGCACATCAGATCTGGAAGGGAGGTCCAATGAGAGGATTTCTGAGGTTCATTCCAAATCCAAAATTCTATGTGGCTAGATGCCCTTTGACATTCTACAAAAGCTAATGCAATTACGGCTGTAGAAGTCTTTTTTACCTACTGTGTTTACAAAATGGATGATCAAGTTGAAGAGAATGTCATTTGTTTGTGTTTTCTGAGTTACCGTGCAAGAATCTGAATCACAAACAAATATTTTTTTTTAATATATTTTATTGATTTTTTACAGAGAGGAAGAGAGAGAGATAGAGAGTTAGAAACATCGATGAGAGAGAAACATCGACCAGCTGCCTCCTGCACATCTCCTACTGGGGATGTGCCCACAACCCAGGTACATGCCCTTGACCGGAATCGAACCTGCGACCTTTCAGTCCACAAGCCGACGCTCTATCCACTGAGCCAAACCGGTTTCGGCACAAACAAATCTTTAAACCCATGAAAGTAAATTATTTGTAGCACAACTGATGACTTTTAAAGCCCTTGGATTGTGACACTAAAACTGTTAAGGACATTTCCCCGTTCATCTGAAATGATTTTTTAGAGACTCTAGGAATAAAACATAATCCATAGGTATCCAGTGCTTATTAATGCATTAGAGAATGAAAGTAGAGCTCTTACCGAGTTTAGCTTAGCAATTCTCAACTATACGAAAATAAGCTGATTTAGTTGAGCTTTTAAGACATGAAGGTGGAAAGCACGAGGCTTTGGGGGAACAAGTACCAGGACTGCATTGCTTCAGACTGTGTCCCTGTATGCCAGGTTCTCCAGAGCTGCCTGGCCATGGTCATTGTCACAGTCACTACTAGGGCTAAAAGCAGTGTCAGAGGCTTGTCTGCCTTCACAGGTCTGATAAGCTAGGTAGTGGCACAAGAATTTTAATCGGGGGAAAAACAAGATTCTGTTATGGAAAAAAGGAAGAGAGGGTGATTTGAAATAAAAGTCTGGATTAAGAATATGGGTTTTGGCCAAAACCGGTTTGGCTCAGTGGATAGAGCATCGGCCTGCGGACTGAAGGGTCCCAGGTTCGATTCCGGTCAGGGGCATGTACCTGGGTTGCGGGCACATCCCCAGTGGGGAGTGTGCAGGAGGCAGCTGGTCGATGTTTCTCTCTCATCGATGTTTCTAACTCTCTATCTCTCTCCTTTCCTCTCTGTAAAAAATCAATAAACTATATTAAAAAAAAAAGAATATGGGTTTTGGATCAAACAAGGTTTAAATGTTAGC